TCTTAGCCGGGAAGCCCATTATACCAGAGCATGTTTTTATATGTTGAATCAATTAATATGCACTGGTGCATGTGGCATATAAATGGTGTATTAAAAAACACACAGAAGGGTGGCCAGAGGCACATACCTGAAATCTTAATTGAACCATAAATATAATGGTAATTAAAAAAAACGAAGAAAATTTGATTTTTAGTTCTTGTTCCTTTTCATTTTGGTTATTCCCCCTTCTCTGGCTGTTTTGATTCTACAGCGTTTTCTTTGATTTTCAAGCTTATTTATAAACAATATAATCACTTTTAGAAAGTGGAGCTATACTTTTAAATGCAGCAAAGGGACTTTCTCTTTAAAAGAACCATGTAGATACCTTTTTATAAAGCAAACTAGAGGCCTGATGCACGAAATTCATGCAAGTACCTCAGCCCTCGCAGCCACGGTGGCTTCCTCGGCCCTTGCAGCCCTGGCTTTGTCCAGAAGGTTGTCTGGAAGGTCATCCGGCTGTCTGGTCTAATTAGCATATTATGCTTTTATTATTGTTGATAATATTTTGTGACGTGTCTATTTAGCCCTAAGTTTTCCTTTTATTATTTTACTTCTAGAGTTTATTCATATGATCATATAAGTTTTTATATATAAAATTTTTACGTATTCATAAGTTTTCATGTATTACTCATATGTACAAGATGTACTTATATAAATCTTGTAGAATATATATCTTAGTACTTTATTCAAGAGGGCATTTCATACCTGATTTTTTTTTTTAACATATCCTCAGGTGAGGATTTTTTCTTCTTTTTTAAATTGATTTCAGAGAGAGGAAGAGAGAGGGAGAGAGAGAAACATCAATGATGAGAGAGAATCATTGATTGGCTGCCTCCTGCACCCCCCTCCCCCCCCCCCCCCCCCGGGGATCAAGCCCAAAACCTGAGCATGTGCCCTTGACCGGAATTGAACCCAGGACCCTTCAGGCTGATGCTCTATCCACTGAGCCAAACAAGCCAGGGTCATACCTAATTTTTTGAAGATTAAAAAGATCATATTTGATAGAAAAGGGACAGAATGAATCCAGTAGAAGAAAACTTTCTGAATCTTGTTCTTGTGGAATTTTCAAGGACTTCAGTAAATTGCTTTTATATAGAGAGTGGGATTTCTTGAAGGTAAGTGTAGTTTATTTGTATATATTTTAAAAGTGAAATTTTCTATTCATTAAATGTCAAAGTAATAGCATTATAAGAAAGATGGGAATGATATTTCAAAATAATAGACTCCCTATGTGTAGAATTTATAAAGCATGAATGCTAATATTCTAGATTGAAAGAAAATTTGTTGCACCCCTTGTCCCCTAGTTAATTAGGAAAATAGCCATTTTATGCTGACACAAGTCAATTAGACTGTGAACTAGCTAAATTCTATAAACTAGCTAATTTTGTCAATAGCTGGAACATGTTGCTCTTACCTAGAACATTCCTCTGTGTGTCCTCAGACACGCCAGGCAGTGGAGAGTTCCTCTCTGTGCCTCCTATACTTTGTACGTGAGCCCAGCTTAGACTGTATTGCAGCATTTGATGATTCTCATTTGTGACCTTGGGCTGCAAAATTGCTTCATATTGACCTGTATATCCTGGATGCCTATGATGGAGTTGTGTTTATAGGGAACAACAAATGTTTGTCAGAGGGAAGTTGGATATGTTCGTTCACATATTTATTCAGCAACACATTTATTTACACATGGAATATATTATATGTAGGCAATAAGGTAGGCACTATTTTAGACCATGGGAATACTGTGGTGACCAGAACCAATGCAGCTTTTGCTCTCATTAGTCATATAATTCAGAAGAAAAACAGGCTTTGATACAAATCATTACAATAAGCGATAATGAGCATTGTGATAGGAAGCAAAGAATCCTATTGTAGGATCTGCCTTAGCAATGGGGGCCGAAGGCTTCCCAGAAGAAGTGATGTTTACATTGGGACCAGATATGAGCTGGAATCATCCGAAAAGGGTTAGGAAAATTGTGGGGGAGGGAGGGTAGTGAGACCAGTAATAGGAAGTTTAGGTACTGAATCTTTATTTCAGGAGTGACGGTTTCTCCCAATAGTGCTACTTGTTTGGCTGTTCATATTACCTAATGGAGACAAAGACTGCAATTATTGTTCAGTGTTTAAATAATCTTTCTCTGAGTATGATGACTCTTGTGCCAGTTGTTCAACATCTCAACTTGTTAGTCAAGAACACAATTCTTTTTTGATATATATTTAGCTTTAGTATATGAAGTCAAAGACAATATTCTACACAGGCTATCATAACTTTCCAATTCAAAATCATGACAACAAAAGATAAACTTTTTGTGCAGAATCATCTGCTCTCTAAATTTTGGAGGTCACTTTAATTTTTCAGTCTCCCAGCTGCAATTCTGACTTCCAGAAAAAGACATAAAAATCACCATTTACTGGTCTTGAAATTTTGTCATCTCCACTGGAAATTTCCTGAGAAAATAACAGCTAATACTTAAGTGCTTTCCATGTTCACCTATTGTGCTAAATATATATTATGAAATATATATAAGTAATATTTTATAAAGATATATGTCATGGTGGTTCTTTTTTGTTGTTGCTGTTGTTAATCCTCACCCAAGGATATTTTTCCATTGATTTTTAGGGAGAGTGGGAGAGAGAAACATCAATGTGAGAGAAACACATTGATTGGTTGCCTCCTGCATGAGCCCTGACCAGGGAGGAGCCTGCAACCAAGGTTCGCGCCCTTGACCAGAATCGAACCCCGGACCCTTTGGTCCGCAGGCTGACACTCTGTCCACTGAGCCAAACTGGCTAGGGCTCACGGTTGTTGTAGCATTGTTTAAGCAGAAAAAAGTTGGAAATGATTGTGTGCCCAGTAAAATAAGTATATCAGTAAAATGTGACCTTAGTCAAGTATTAATAAGAATGATAATACCAACTAATCAGTCTTCACTAAGTGCTAAGCACTGATCTTACTTATGCTCATTAAATTGTAGGTATTATTATTATTAGCTTCATTTACAGAGGTTAAGTGACTTGTCCAAGGTGGTAGGACAGAGACACAAGCAGAATGGCTTCACAGCCCACACTGTTAATTACTGTGCTGTATGGCTCCTGGTCATCTGTATTCTAGTGTGAAAAGAAAATAATTTGGTAAGGAAAATGAGGAAATTGTTGAAAGTTTTTATAGTATGATACCATTTATGTAAAAGATATATGTCTCTATCTTCTATATGGTCCATTTATAACAAATATCTATGTTTTCTTGTGACATAAAATCTCTCTAAAATATTTTCATATATATTAATGTGTTTGAATATATGAATATATTAAAATATACACATGTAAAACAAATATAAATATATACATAAATACACATATCTACACACATATGCACACACACAAAATATGGAAACATTTCTGGACAGGTATACAAGAACTTAATGGGTGTTTTGGGGGATTCGTATGGAGACTGAAAAAAATGTTCTCTGTACTCTTAAGTATGGTGAATAATTTAAAACCAACGAGCACATATTGCTTTTATAACACAAATAAGCTTAAATTGAAAAACTTAAACACTGGATGTGGTAGTTCTTAAGCAATTATGTTACGATTTTTGAATTAAAAGTATATTTTATTGATTTCAGAGAGAGGAAGGGAGAGAGAGAAACATCAATATGAGAGATAAACAGTTGCCTCCTGCATGTGCCCCAACTGGGGATCCAAGCTGCGACCTGGGTATGTGCCCTGACCTGAAATCAAAACCACCACCTTTTGGTGTATGGGATGATGCTTTAACCAACTGAGCCACACTGGCCAGGGCTGAATTGTGTACTTTTAAAAATGAATGAACTCCAGGGGCAGGGACCATTGCCTCATTTTCTGAAAGCACGTTAATGATTCCTCTATCCGTAAACATCTCCCCCTTTCCAACCCTAATCCCTTCTAGCTTCTGCCCTTCCCTGGTGGAGGGCGGGAGCAGGAGCTCTCGCCCCCCACACCCTCTTGCTTGCATCTGTATATAGTGTGAGCAGCAAGTAGCCCTGTTCCCTCCCTGCCCCTACCCCTCCTCAATGTTATGGCCTTGGATATCCCATCTATAATAATAATAAAAGTGTATTGTGCTAATTAGACCAGATGTCCTTCCGGACAACTTTATGGACGAAGCTGGGGCTGTGAGGGAAGCTTGGGTCCCGGGTGCCTGCCGGCAGCCAGAGGGAAGCCCGGGTCCTGGGTGCCAGAGGAAAGCCGGTGCCGGCAGCTGGGGGAAGGAAGGCCTACTTTGCACGAATTTTGTGCATCAGGCCTCTAGTTTAATAAAGACAATTCAATCAGCTCTCCCTTGACTCCCCAAAAAAGAATGAGTATACATTGCTTTTATAATAAAGTGCATTTTAATGGAAAAGCTGTAATAATAGTGGACAGATTTCTTTAATAGTTATATACTATGAAATATTATTTTTGTGTCTAGGTTTGGGATATGATTTATTTATTATAATTGACAGTTTAGGATAAAACTGCCCGTGTTAAACTTTTATCAGAGAGTTGCTGTCTTATCTTAAAAAGGCTAGCTCCTTTCTAACATCCATTGAATTGGAGAGTAACTCAATGTAGATTTACCTTATTCTGATACACAAGATGGTATCCAATTGAAGCCTTAGTAATGAAAGCTTTCACAGAAATGAGATTCAGCAAATGCAGAAGTTGACAGCAATTTTACTAGACGTTGTTAGTCAATTGAGCACAATTTTCTTGCAGGAAAATGGTATCCTGCTTCTTAAATGACAGAGCATTTATCAAACACAAATGCCAATTTGAAACTGCATAGTTTATTTAATGAGACAGTGTTCCAGTGTCAATGGACGGTATTTTAATATTATGCTTAGTCATGGAATGTACTTGGGGTCAGGTTGGATGATAAATGCTGACACAGGCATAGCTGAAACCTCACACATGACTTACTTGGGGGCTGTGTTTTCCAGGCGAAGCTCTGAAAGTGTCAGCGGAGAGATTTGCAGATGACCCCTGCTACCTCCCCAAAAGGGAGGCTGTGGTTCAAGCTGCCCGTGCCCTGCTGGCTGCCGTTACCAGACTCCTCATCCTGGCAGACATGATTGATGTCATGTGTCTGCTGCAGCACGTGTCAGCTGTGAGTAAAAGATGGCTTCGTTTCCCTTGGCATTGCTCTCCCTTCCAATTCCATTCTCTGAACCTGGCCTCCGTCTTAGCACATTCTGGCCTCACCCTCGTTTCTTAATGTCACCCACCAGAAGCTGACTGAGTTGGGCTTTGATACAAATGTATATTTCAAAAGAACAAAGACAAAAGAATAAAGCCAGTGGAAACTCAACAGCAGAAGATGGCTTATACATGAGGAAATGGCTAGGAGAAAATTCTAGGCTATTGACCACTTAAATTATGATGTCCTCTGTAAATACATGTGTATAATAACATAGTTATAGAGGTAAAGTAAATAATACGTATAAATATAAGTAACTGGAAAAAGAAACTTTAAAACTTAAGAAGACATTTGAAGTTTATCCTAGTTTGTAAGTGAATATTACTGTGCCAGATCCTCTTGATTCAAGATAAACGGTGCATGTTGACAGGTATCTGTGATACCTGCGGTCATCCATTATGAAAATGTGCAAATGGATTTAATATGTGTAGAGAATGTATTTTAACTCAGTGACTAGAAAGGAAGCAAGAAACCTGCTTGCTTTCTTTTGCTCGACAAACCCATTCATGAAGGTTTAGCAGAAAGATAATTTATTAAAGCCTTTTTAATTTAGTTTGATCAAGTCAACTCACTAATAATATCCAAATGAGAAGGATGTAAAGAACCTCTTGGAATCTCAGCTTGATCTTCTGCTTTAAAAAGGACCCCCACTCTTCGGTTCCTAAATACATTTGCCTGGTGACTGTAATATCACTACTCTATTAAACAAATGATGGCTTTGTCTGATTGACCTTTTTGTCAAAATCCTTTCCTCTAAAGGTTAAGCTAAACCTTTGCATCTTTATTTTACTCCCTAATGTTTATTTTAACCCAAACTAGAGAGATCTCCCCTTTATACTTTCATATGCCTTTCTTTTTATAGCTTTATTACTGCAAAAAAGCAATTCGGTACTTTGCTTTGTTGTTTAAGTAGCTTTTAAGGAAAGGGAGTAGTTTTTATCACCAGGAGCTATCTACTAGTGGATTTGTAGGTGAGATAATTGAGCAATGTTTCTTGTTCCTTGGTTGTTGGTTTATTGAATACCTTTAAAAAAAGTCCCTAAACATTTCTGAGAGTCATACCACCTCCCCCCCATATGAGAATGTAGACACTAATAAATGCTGTAACCAAGAAATAAGTATGCATGATTCAGTGCCAGGAAATTTCTAGTTTCAGTGATGCAATATTTGTTTATATTATATTTTATTTTTAGTTGTTGTTATTCTTCAACCGAGGATATTTTTTTCCACTGATTTTTAAAGAGAGTGAAAGGGAGGGGGACATACAGAGAGAGATAAACATTGATGTGAGAGAGACACATCAATTGGTTGCCTCCTGCAAGTGCCCTGACAGGGCCAGGATCGACCTGCAACCAAGGTACATGCCCTTGACTGGAATCGAACCTGAGACCCTTCAGTCTGCAGGCCGATGCTTTAACCACTGAGCACCAGCTAGGCCTATTTATATTTTACTAGAAGCCCGGTGCACAAAAATTTGTGCACTCGGGGGGGAGGGGGGTTCCCTCAGCCCGGCCTGTGCCCTCTCGCAGTCTGGGACCCCTTGGGAGATAATGGCCTGCTGGCTTAGGCCTGCTCCCAGGTGGCAGAGGGCAGGCCCAATCCCTAGGTGCAGCCCCTGGTCGGGCTCAGAGCAGGGCTAATTGGGGAGTTGGGACGCCGCCCCCTGTCATGCACAGAGCAGGGTGGATCAGGAGGTTGCGATGCCACCCTCAGTCACGCTCAGGGTAGGGCCGATTGGGGGGTTGGGGCACCGCCCCCTGTCACACTGAAGGCAGGGTCGATGGGGAGGTTGTGGCGCCACCCCCTGTCACGCACAGAGCAGGGTCCATCAGGAGGTTGAGGAGCTCCCCCCTGCCACTCACAGAGTAGGGCCGATAGGGGAGTTGGGGCACCGCCCCCTGTCACAGAGCAGGGCAGATCAGGGGGTTGGGGTGCCACACCCTGTCACACTCAGGGCAGGGCCGATGGGGAGGTTATGGCTCTACCCTGTCACACACAGAGCAGGGCCCGTTGGGGGGGGGGGGCGTTGGGGCACCACAGCCTGTCACACACAGAGCCACAGGGCGATCAGGGGGTTGGGGAGCTCCCCCCTATTAGGCACAGAGCAGGGCTGATCAGGGGGTTGGGCGCCTTCCCCTGTCGCAAACAGAGCAGGGTCGATAGGGAGGTTGTGGCCCCGCCCCCTGTCACACACAGAGCCGCAGGGCGATCAGGAGGTTTGGGCGCTGCCCCCTGTCATGCTGATCCTGGTGCCGGGAGGCCTCTCGGCTCTGCTGATCCCGGTGCTGGGAGGCATATTACCCTTTTACTGTATAGGATAGAGGCCTGGTGCATGGGTGGGGCTGGCTGGTTTGCCCTGAAGGGTGTCTCGGATCAGGGTGGGGGTCCCGCTTGGGTGCCTGGCCAGCCTGGGTGAGGGGCTGAGGCTGTTTGCTGCTGGTCACACCCCTTTCAGGGTGGGGGTCCCCACTGGGGTGCCTGGCCAGTCTGGGTGAGGGGCTGAGGGCTATGTTCAGGCTGGTGGGTCACTGAAGCTCCCAATCGCTCCTTTTTTTCTCTCTCTTTTTTTTTTATTCTGGGCCAGCTTTAGCTTTGAGGCTTGGCTCCAGCTCTGAGGCCTTGGCTGCTGAAAGCAGGTATCTGGTTTGTTTGGGTTCTGTAATCGAAATACTGTTTCAACCCCAGCTCTGAGGTCCTGGCTGGCTGAAAGCAGGTTTCTGGGGTTTTGTTTAGCTTCTATATTTGTAACAATGTTTCAAACTGCAAGCTCAGAGGCCGGCAGCGGCAGGCGGGGAACCCGGCTTCCTCCGTCACTGAAGCAAGCAAGCCTCATGTTCGCTTCAAGCTGCCTGGCTGCCGGCCGCCATCTTGGCTGGCAGTTAATTTGCATATCTCCCTGATTAGCCAATGGGAAGGGTAGCGGAGGTATGGCTAATTACCATGTTTCTCTTTTATTAGATAGGATATTCTAAATTTATTGAGATAGGGAAGAGTGAAAGGCTTCTCTGAGGTAAAAATTTCCACCTGTATTATCAGTTAGGAGATGACTATATTTACAAAGACTCTAAGCACCTTCACTACCACTTTACTTGAATGCCACTAACTATTAGGCCCAGTACTAGGCAATTCACACACATTGTGTCATTTAAATGAAGTAGGAAGTAATGGTAAGTAAAAGAGAGCATTGTTTTTTAGAATAAAAATTGTAGTTTATATTTATTGAATTTTTATAAAGTGCAAAGCACTGTGCTGGATTATCTCCTTTAATTCTGTCCTCATAACAACTCTATGACTATGATTTCTATTTAAAAATTTTATTTTACAATTACAGTTCACATACCATATTATATTAGTTTCAGGTGTACACCCCTGTTATTAGACATTTATATAATGTATGAGTGATCACCTGGATAAACCTAGTACCCATCTGACACCATACATAGTTATGACAATATTATTGACTATATTTCTTATGCTGTACTTTACATCCCATGATTGTTTTTATAACTGGTAATTCCTAATCCCTTCACCTTTTTCACCCATTCCCCAACCTCTCTCCCATGTGACAGTTATGAATTTGTCTCTGTATTGGTGAGTTTCTATTTATTTTGATGTTTAGATTCCACATATAAGTGAAATCATATGGTATTTGTCTTTTTCTGTATGACTTATTTCACTTAGCATACTACCCTCTCAGTCCATCCATGTTGCAAATGGCAAGACTTCATTTATTCTATGGCTGAATAACATTTCATTTTATATATGTACTAGAGGCCTGTTGCACGAAGAGATTTGTGCAATAGGCCTTCCCTTCCCCTGGCTGCCGGCACCAGTTTTCCTCCAGCACCTGGGACCTAGGCATTCGCTCCAGCCGGAGCCTTCGGTCCTCGCGGCTCCGGATGGAGCCTTTGGTCCTTGCGGCTCTGGACGGAGCCTTCAGTCTTCGCTCCGCTGCTTCGCCCCTGTGTATGCAAGTTAACCACCATCTTTGTTGGGTTAATTTTCATACTCTCCTGATTGTCTGGTGAGCATAGCAGAGGGACAGTTAATTTACATGTTTGTCTATTATTAGGTAAGAATCACATCTTTATCCATTTGTCTATCAGTGGACACTTAGGTTGCTTCCATATCTTGCCTATTGTAAATAATGCTGCAATATACATAGGGGTGCATATATCTTTTCAAATTATTATTTTGAGTTTCTTCAGACTAAGGTAGTTCTATTTCTAATTTTTTGAGAAACTTCTATATTGTTTTCCATAGTGGCTGTGCCAATTTACAGTCCCACCAACAGTGCATGAGGGTTTTCTTTTCTCTACATCCTCGCCAACATTTGTTGTTTGTTGATTTATTGATGATAGCCATTCTGAAAGGTGTGAGGTGACATCTCATTATGGTTTTAAATTGTATTTCCCTGATGATTAGTGGTGTTGAGCATCTTTTCATATGTCCATTGGTCATCTGTATGTTCTGTTTAGTGAGAGGTCTATTCAGGTCTTCTGCCCATTTTTAAATCAAGTTGTTTGTTTTTTAGTGTTAAGGTGTATGAGCTCCTTATGTATCTTGGATATTAATTCCTTATCAGATTTGTCATTGGTGAATATCTTCTCCCATTGAATAGGTTGTCTTCTAGTTTTGTTGATTGTTTCCTTCACTGTGCAAAACCTTTTTAGTTTGATTTTTTCCTTTTTTTCTTTTGTGCACCTTGCCTGAAGAGACATATCCAAAAAATATTCCTAAAAACAATGGCAAAGAGTTTATTGCCTGTGTTTTCTTCTGGGAATTACATGGTCTCAGGCCTTACATTTAAGTCTTTTTAATCATGTTGAGTTTTTTTCTTGCATATGGTGTAAAAAAGTTATCCAGTTCTTTATTTTTGCATGTAACTGTTCATTTTTTATTGGAGAGAC